GCTATGGCGTAGAAAACTCCATTCTTTGGGTTTCAGCATTCAGAATTCACTTAATCCCTAAAATTACGCACGTGCAAGTCCTATTTAGGAGGAGAAGAGCGCTAGTGCAAACTCCTTCAGGTGTTTGGAGGACGAATCATGTCCTCCAATTAGTTTAGATCTTCATCTCTGTGCGTTCTCTGCTAGTGCAAATTCCTTCAGGTCCTCAGGAAGAATGAATTTTAAACGAATCATGTCCTCCAGTTAGTTTAGATCTTCATCTCTGTGCGTTCTCATATTTATCCAAAGCCACTCTCCTCACTCCAGGCTCTAGTTGTTGTTATGGTAGCTCTGCACCATGCAATTTATTTACAAGATACTGTGTAGCCAGGTTTTACTTTGGTTGACAAAAAAACCCAGTGGCTTGGTCTTCAAAAGGTAACGTGTAGCCAAATAGCCAGGTTTTACTTTGGTTGACAAAAAAAAAAACAGTGGCTTGGTCTTCAAAAGGTAATAAATTCTTGCATGCAGTGGCACTCAACAGCCTGAGTAGATGGACACCATGTCCTGTCTGCTCCCAGAGCTCTACCCATGGTGATTTGACAGTGTCCTCCCTGACAGACCTCCAGCACTGTCTTTCAGCAAGATCACTTCTTCTTTCCTGGGGCTTTGGCATTCCCACCAGCCTTGCCATTAGTTTTGGTGCTTCCTCCTGATTTTGCTGCTTCACCATCTTTTTCACCTTTCTTCCCGCCTCCTTGTTTTTTGTCATTAGTGTCCTTTCCTCCCTTTCCTCCCTTTTCTCCTTTTTCTCCCTTTTCTCCTTTCTCTCCTTTTTCTCCCTTTTCTCCTTCTTTCTTTTTGGCCCCATCCTTCCCTTCTTTCTTGGATCCTTCTTTCTGGTCCTTTTCACCATCCTTCTTCTTGGAGTCTTTGGATGCATCTTTCTTACCCTGAGCCTTGTCCACTTTTCCAGACACAGTGGGAACTTCTTCTTCTTCCTTTTTTTCTTCTGCAACCTGAGCTGTACACAAGAATGGAAAAAGAAAACAGGAAAGCAGTTAACTTGGATTGCTACTAGCCAGGAAGAGGGCAAAACTCTTGCTCCCTGCTGGCAAATCTTGGACAAAGGGAAAATACTTCTACTGGTGCTTTGTCCATACAACTGTTTTCCTCACTGACTACCAGATTTTTGTGTCTTTCTTTTGAAAGACAGGAAAATGGGATAAAGCAAAACTGATAATTTCAAAAGCTGAGTTGTGAATCTGTTGGAGGAAATGGCTCCTGTTGGTAGGAACTGATCCATGAACATTATAAGCACAGGCCATGAGCATTTCCCAGTAGACATTCAGTGTGGAGTTGTCTCCTTCCACAAGAAGGAACACAAACATCTCTTATGCAATTCAGTACAGACCTAACTTGGTTTTGCTTTGGTGTTTATTGTTATTATTGTTGGTTGGCTTTTCTAATTCTTTGTTTTCCTCTACGGGATGTATCTCCTGCAGCTGAGAGTGGACAGTAGGGATTCTGCTGGGGATCTTTGCTCTCAGAGATGAACAAGCAGAAGATGGCTTGCCTGGTGCAGGGCTACAAAGTACACTTAGTTTGTGTCCTGTCCACATCCAGTCACTATGGGACTGGCTTTCTACCTCCATCACTGTAATTAATGGTGTAGAGTAATTAGCTGTAGTGCACTGTAGGCTCTGTTTTGGTATGTTTTAACACAAAAGCCATATTAGTTACAGGAAGCTTATAATACCCTTACTTATAAAATATTTTTACTTAGGAATACCTTGGATTCAGTGCCCACATTTCAGGTGAGAAGACTCATCCACTGGATCTACAGACTTTAATTATTCTGACACAGAATTTGGTAGCAGAAATCTTGTCCTCATCTTTCTTATTTTTCCTCTACTGAAAGTGGTTCATTTTCTCAAATTATGTTTGATGCACTGAGCTCTCATCTCAAGATGCAACTTGACACTTAAACACAGATCATATTTCGTATATTTCTTACGGAAATTATTGCCCTTTGCTCAAGGCCAGCAGAGTATAGTTTTGCAAAAACAAGTGAAAATGTGTTAAGTTTCCCATGACCTCCTTCTCTGAAAATCCCCAATATAGGACTCAGAAATGTAAGTAGATAACTGTGTTAACACAACTTAATAATTAAAATCAGACAAGATGTAAAAATGACCTGGGAGTGCTCCCAGGAAGCGTAGGATGGTTAGTCACAGTTTAGCTTTCTTCAGCTGGTACCTAGACTAAGTCAAATTATTTTATGTTTGTCACATGGTAAGGAAAGATGAAGGTGAAGGATTCTTTATCAGGGAGTGTAGTGATAGGATGGGGGGTAATGGCTTCAAACTGAAAAAGGGGAGATTTAGATGAGATATCAGGAAGAAATTCTTTAGTGTGAGGGTGGTGAGGCACTGGAACAGGTTGCCCAGAGAAGTTGTGGCTGCCAAATCCTTGGAGGGGTTCAAGGCCAAGTTGGATGGGGCTTAGAGCAACCTGGGCTGGTGGGAGGTGTCCCTGCCCAGGGCAGGGGTTGGAGCTCATTGATATTTAAGGTCCCTTCTAACCCGAGCCATTCTACAATTCTATGCTTTGACCTTGGGAAGTGGCAATACATTTGTGCATACAAATGGGAGTAGAACAATACAGACTCTTTCTTACAACCACAAGAAAAATCCTGACATCTCATATAAAACAAAGGAGGTGGAAGAATAAAAAAACCCCAAAACCTAAATCAACAAACCCACTACATTTTCTGCTTCCTTAACAAATATGGTAGAAAACAGGTAAACTCCCCAAAAATGTCAGCTGGAGCAGCCTCAGAGCAGAACACCTGAAGATCTCCCAGGCCATGGACCCAGACAGGACATCTCCACCTAAAGCAAGGGCCAAGTGCTGCTTGTACTTCTCCCACAGGCTGGGAGACAGAGGACAAATGCATAAATTCATATATAACATTTTATACACTGAACCCTGAAGTCCATTTTATTTATGTCCACTAAAAGGGCTTGCCATATATGACACTCAAAAGAGTGCGTGGAGAGCCTTTTGGCAGTTTGAATATTCCATCATAGTAAACGTGAAGTAGGGTAAAATAATGCCAAGGAAGGAGAGCATTTAAGCATTGTAATATATTCATGATTAATAGCATTTGACACTTACAAATCTTTAAAGCATTTAATGGCCACTCAGCAATTAAAATCACTCAGGTCATCTCTCTGGCCTTGACTGGGTCTGCCGGGGGTTGTCACAGTGTAAGTTTATGAATAGTTGACAAATACATACATTATATTTCATTACTCCCTAAATCAAGCAGGGTTGCCAAATGTCAGAGGCAGAGCATCACCCTCCGTACAGATGAAAACAACAGCACAGAGATGAAGCCCGAAGCTTTGCATATTTTTCATTACAACACATAAATCACGTAGCGAAAATTTTTCTGGGGACAGGATGCAGGCTAATGTCAGAAAGAGGGCAAACCAGAGGGTTTGACCACCCAGAGCTTTTGGATGTAACACTTTAGGCGCTGACAGCTGAGTCAGTCCTTTTGGGTCCCCAAGACTGGGGACGTACAGGCATTTTTAAGGCACGATTTACCTCTTCCACTTTAGCACCTCCCCTACTGTGGAAGGAATCACATCCTTTTTATTTTCCGCTCTGTATAAAGGGATAAATTTGAGACAACTAGTGCTGATGCAGATTTTTCCATAGATGTGGGTAATCTATTTGTGGCTAGATGTCTCCCACCCCAGTGCCTTCACACCCAAGTCCTTCAGGGCAACTTGGGGAGATGTATATCTGACCCCAGAGGACTTGGAGCTTCAGAGCAGATGTATTTATGAGCCACTACCAGACATCAGCAGGCTCTCAGCAATATGTTATCCACCTGCCTCATACCCTGCACTGTGCCAGGACCATAATTCTGGGATTCTCAAAATCTCAAACAGTGGTCAGCTATTCAACTTGCACATTTAGCTGGACAAAAAGTTTAGGTAGTCTTTATGGTGCAGCTGACTTCCCATAAATTGCTTTCTCCGGGTAATTTATTCATGAGTTCACGTTGCAATAATTTACCACAATCTGATTAACTCTATACCAAAACAGCTAGCCTTTGGGTGGAGCACATGTATGTGTTAGTGGATTGTAAAGGTTGCTTACTGGAGATCAAAATTAGCATTCTGGGGTGAAACAGTCATTCTGCTGCCCAAATACCCTTTCTGTTGCTTCTGGATATTCTCATCCTTCATTTATTGGTTTTCCAGCTATAACAGCCAGGCAGGAAGAGGATGCAGCAGCAAATGACTGAATTTGGCTTTCTGCTGTGTACAGGCGTGATCCTTCACACCCTCTGGGATCTACTGTTAGCTGGTCCTTACAAAGCCAGAATGTGGTCTTTTGGGCAGGAAATTGAAGGATACAACACTAAGCACTTCCATGTGTGGTAGCTCATAAATGTAAGAGTGCATTAACTAGACTTTTGGATGACTTTTGACTTTAAAGTAGGTCAAGAGAATTTCACTGTATGGACAAGGGCTTATCCATGCCAACTGGGTTCAGCTCCAGAGAGTGGTCTGGCCATCCTCAGTTTATACTGTAGGCGTGGTCAGGTGTCTGAAAACCTCTGAAATACTGATGTATGTGCAAGTTCCTACTGTTAAGCACTTTGTTCTGCATTTTGCTGATGTAGGACTAAATTTCTACAATTTTTGTTCTGGTTTTTTGCTGATGTAGGACTAAATTTCTACAATTATGTTCGCTACCTCTTTCACCAGTTTTATGGTCTGAAGCATCACATTTTGAGTCAAGGAAACTCCCAGTTCCCATGAAGCTACAGACCACAGGGCTTGCAGAGAAACAGGAAAGAGGAAAAAAAAAAATCATAAAAAGGTATCGAGAAAACAGAGGTGAAGTGCAGAAAGGGAACTGAGAAGCAGATAGTCCAAGGTATGATGGATCTCATCAGAAAAGAGAAGCCATAGACAGACAGACAGGAAGGCAGTCCCCTAATTTCCTTGCAGGGCCATTTCATCTTCTTCTTTCACCACAGGCAGGGAGTTGAGAGGTCTGGACTGGACATGACCAGAGAGAGTTAGGAGAGTTTCAGTAGAGCCTAGGGTACAGAATCAGGAGAGATGAGTGAGAGGAGCAGAGACCAGTGACAGAAATACTCTTGGCCATCCAAATGGGGTGAGCCATTTATGGGTAATGTGAAACTCTAACAACTCTTTTTTTTCCTTACTGATACCATCACCACCCCCCAACCCAGGAACTCATCCTTCAAATGAATCAGAATCTCTGGAAATTTTAAAACATGAACTTCAAAGGAATGACCATGACTTGTACCACTGGAGAAATTGTCCCTTTCATCTAAATGACCTAATCTTCCACAGACACTGCAGGTTGAGTGCACGTAAATGGGAGGTGTTTACCACATTATGATTGTGCCCGAGGAGCCACATTGTGTTACACTAAGGGATGACCTAGCTCTTTGCATTCACGCATATAGAAAACCACCCCAAAGGAAGAGATGGGTCTCGCGTTGGTGTGAGCATGGGCAGTACCTCCAGGGATCTCTGTCAGCTCGTTGAGTGGTGGCACAGTCTCCAGTTTGTCTGCATATGTCTTGGCTGCTTGCCGTTGGGCGTACCGTGCCTCAATCTCTTTCTTTGTCCGGGGAATCCGACACTTGAAGATACAGCACAGGGTGATAACTGGGGAAGGAGGGAGGGAAGCAAGAGCATTCAGTTTAGTCAGCAAATCTCTGTCTAGTACAGGTTGGTCCATCATTTACAGGGGGGAGAAAAATTAAGGATTTCTTCCAGTAGGAACCTGCAGCCAGTAGGAAGTACCTGCCGGAGGGATATGGTTTAAAGCAATAGAGTTACCTGAAAATAAAGAATTGCTAGTCTTCTGCTGAGCTGAGGTAAAGGACTGAGAATGTCTTCCCCACCAAAACCAATGTAAACCACTGCCTTAAATCATATACACCAGTGGTGTTTCTGAGCATCAAATTCATTACCTCTTTGGAAATGACAGCAGCAATTAAGATGTACTGTCACCCTTCAGCAGTGTGTTATTGCTAGAGGTTCTGACAGCCATTTGTTTTTGTGATAGGTAGATGCTGGGACTGTGAACCTCCAGCTGAAGAAAGCAATGAGGAGTTTGACATGGAAACATTGTAAACCCTTCAAAAGAGATACAGAACCAGAGCTCAATATATGCTTTAATTGACTCTGATCCACATTCATTTAGGGCAGGCCAAGAATTGAACCCAGATCTCCTAAATCCCCCCATCATGCGCTTACTATTCCATCATGTTTCTTTCCATGGGCTAGGCTTCTGTACACGACTTAAGGATACAGATAGTTTTATTTTCCCTCATGCTTAAACCTATACGTTAATTCAGAATTTCCATCTGCAAATCTAATCATGATTCAGACAATTCATTGCAATGAAATCACTATTGGTTGGTTTCCTAGATTAGGAATCCACGTACTTGATCAGGTCATCCATGTACTACCTCTGGCAACAACAAAGCAACTTCAGCGAAAAGGTCAGAAACTGATAATCAGAAAATTAGTTGGCCCTCAGGTCATAAACACATGTCAAGAAGCATGAGATCTCATGGTGTCTGTGAACTTTTGAGTTGCTTTTTTTTCTCTGGGCATCCTTAAAATAGTTTGAGGGATTCTTCTAGTCTAAATAAAAGCTCAACCTACCTAAATTCTTAACCTCATTATATACATTATTGGCAAGGGGGTTCTGTAGGCAGGCAGAGCTTTGCGTCTGGAAAGATGTTGTGTGACCAGTTTGTCACACTCTGTCTCCTGTTTTAACTGGAGTTCCCCAGTCATCATGAACAATGTTGACTTTTAAGACTAACCCAAGGAAATGAGAGAAATAATTTGTAAGTTTGGCCCCAAGTGTGAGCATTTATCATTCACCAGGAGTAAAAAAAAAAATTGCTGGTGTAAATTTTACTCCCTAAAAGTTTATCTTGTACCTGTCCAGCCTCTCCTAAGTAAAGAGGGATCACGATAACCAAGAACAAGCTCTGCATGACCTCTTCATATAATAAAGGAGAAAAGGAAAGTAGTAAAACACTTTTCTCAGTGTTTTAAGATTGGTGTAAAGTTACCAAGAAAAGTGTAGCAGCTCCCCTATCCCTTGGCTGAGTTTTGCTGCCAAAAATATCACTCCCCTTAAACAATTTGTTGCTGAGGTGTTGCAGTGGAATCACACTCAGGGCCATCTAAATGTCACAACAGGATGAAACAACTGCAGCTGAAGTGAATTGCCTAAAACACCATGAAATTGTAATAACCTGTAATTGGGGAAGCAATCAAGATGCTTTTATCCTTGCTCTTCTAGGAGGGTCAGCAACAAGCTGAGGGTAATCGAGCTTTTCGTTGTCTTACAAAAAGAAAGCAAGGTACCCATATGGTGGTGTTGGCAGCAAAACATTGACAGCTTGCAGGTGGGTAATGAACCACATCTGGAAAGTGCACAGCTGGGTCCTCCCCGATGTTCAGGGCAGCAGAATTTCACTGTGCACCTGCCCGCAGCTACGTCGGAACCAGTGGATGGCATAGACAAAAAAATGCCCAGTAACTGGGCAAGGACTCCAGGCAAGGTCAGACTAGACATAAGCATGGATTTTTAACAGTGAACAGCAACCAGGGAGACAATTTACGGGGGGAGATTGGGTATATGCTTTTCCTCTGACCACATTTAAATCAAGATCTATTGTTTTCCTAAAAGCACTCTGGAATTCAGCTAAACCAGGAATCCTCTGTGCACATTACAGAAAAATTTGACAGGAAGATGATCTTCCTGGAGACTGATAAATGGTAAGACTGTCAGCTTTCAAGTAAAGCACGAAGAGATTGGTCAATGACCTTCAAAGTCAAGGAGAAAATGCCTGCCATTATCACAGTAGTTGGCTTAGCCCTACAGGAGGGAGTAGGGGTGGTTGTATCTCTTACAGTTCCACTTCTTTTCAATTACTAAGGACAAAACTGGTAGTTGTTACATGGCAGTCGTGAGCTGGGCTCTCTGTTTAACTTTCTAATGGAGAAGAAGTATTACACTGAGGCACATGTTTTCTTGGGATGTGAAATGATTCATAACCAGCCACTGGAGCAAGAGGCTTATGTGAAAATAATGCAATGCTATTCCCATCTCTGTCCCCCTTATAAATTGTGCTTAATGTGAGGCTCAAGCCATGCAGGGGGCTAAATATTGAACAGAATGCCATTATCTTTTTAAAAGGACAGGCCAGTGAGGAAGATTTGGGTACAGGAGCCTTAGGACACTGAAACTGATGCCAGGAATGATTGTTTCATTGCTAGTGGGAAGTTATTCCCTGTTGGATATCTTTGCTTTTTCCTCTGGGTCAGACGTAGGAGACAGAGTGGGTGGAATTGATCTGCTCTGGTTTGTGTGTCCCAAAGGTAGGGATTATGGTCTCAGACAGTCACTCCAGACTCCCTTTGTATCTGATGGAGTGAAAGAAGCATCTCCACAGGGTGATTAATCTCATCTTAAGAGAGAAGTTTAAGGTATGTCAAATAAATCGTCTGCAGCTGCCTCTCTCTGTTAACCACAAAAAGAGCTTGGAGTGACTGGTCTGACACAGACCCTGGAAGAATTGTGACCTCCCTGAAGTGAGAGCCAGAGGCTGGACAACGTGCCCAAGGGCTTCCCAAATGGCATCAGAGATCTACATTTAGAAGTGGGAATTGTTCCCTCATTTAGAAGAAGTGGATCTTATACTTTGGAAGTTAAGAGTGAAATGTCTGCTGCATATTAGAGGTGTGGAGCTATTTTAGCACCATTTGTTGTGCCTGGTAGATACTTTAAGTTTTTTCCTGCTTTGCACCAGTAAGATTATATTTGCTCCAGTGATAATTTATCCATCAAGTGAACCAGAAAGCAGTGTAACCTGTAATATTTTCTGGGTGCCAATGTTAACATTATTTTCCTTCTGAAGACAACCTGGGAAACTGAACGTGCCTGTAAGGGTCCTGAGAGCATCCTCACCACTATGCCCCTTCCTGGGGCTTGACTGCCTGAGTTTGGGGTGTCCTGGGTCTGGTGGGGATGGGTTAATTCTCCCCAGGATCTAGGAGGGACACGGGTATCCCATCCCCTGTGAGCCCTGCCCAGGGGCAGCCGGAGCTGCTGGGAACTGGAGGGATGAGAAGTCGGGGGAGTGGATGAGGAAGCCCCCCTGGGGGATGAGGAAGCCCTCCCGGGGGGAGCAGAGCGATCAGAGGCTTCCGGGGGCCGGTCGGCAAGTGGTGGTATAGTAATCCTGGTTGTCTGTTCCTCTGTCAGTGGTGGTGGTTTCTTGTTCCCTTTGCTGTTCTCTTGAATTGCCTTTGTCTCAAAACCCACGAGATTTTGCCTTTTTCTGCCGATTCTCCCCTCAGGGCCGCGCTGGCTCCGGTCAGCGTGAGGTGAGAGGCCTCCCCCTTGTTCGCCGTCTGAGGCCAAACCACAACACAGGGCCAGATGAGAAGTAATCACAGAATCATGGAATGCTTGGAATCGGGTTGTTCGCCGTCTGAGGCCAAACCACGACACAGGGCCAGATGAGAAGTAATCAATCACAGAATCATGGAATGCTTGGAATCGGAAGGGACCTTAAAGATCATCTAGTTCCAGTCCCCTGCCCTGGGCAGGGACACCTCCCACCAGCCCAGGTTGCTCCAAGCCCCCTTCAATCTGGCCTTGAACCCCTCCAGGGATGGGGCAGCCACAGCTTCTCTGGCCAACCTGGGCCAGGCTCTCATCGCCCTCACAGCAAAGAATTTCTTTCCCATATCTCATCTAAATCTCCCCTCTTTCAGTTTAAAACCGTTACCCCTTGTCCTATCGCTACACTCCCTGATAAAAAATCCCTCTCCACCTTTTTAATGCAGCTGGTGGCCTTTTCAAAGGAGGAGTCAGAAGAAACCTGAGTGGAGGTTCCCCTTTTCTTCTCTTGGAAAGACTCTTAAGCTGATTCTCTCATGCCTTGATCATGGTGGAGATCCACTGCAGTGGATGTTGTACCTTTGCCTGTGCCTGGTCATGTGTCCCATTGACCCAGACCCTGACCCATGGACATGACTTTCTGGCTTTGCTTCAGACCTCCTTCGTCACTAGTGATTTGGTTGTGTCTGACACCAGTTGCACTTAGCCATCATGTGAGGATGGTTGATAATGAGGATTGCTGTTTAAAAATAGCCACCCTGTAAGATAACAGATCAAGTATTGGACTGTACTCTCTCCCATGAGTTAAGCCTCAAAGCAATACTCTTACAAAAGCTTAGTATGTGACATGGCATCAGCTGAGCACAATAACTGATAGGGCCATGTTCTTAGGGTAGAAAAATTACAACATAAAAAGAAAACATTAAAAACCTCCCTGAGGTTTATATGTACAACAAAAGTAGCTTAAACTAAAAGTTTTTGTTTGGAATATGAAGAATATTAATTGCAACCCAGTTGAATAGTGATAACTTGATCACAATTGATTCTGGGTCCATAGGATGAAGTATTTGGGGGACCAGTTAGCTTGGATGCAACTCTAGACTGATTTGTTATTGTGCTTTTCTTCTGGCAGGCAGATGACCTGAATTCAAGCCTCGAATGGCTGTTTCACATTAAACATTCCCCAATTCTCTTATTCCCCAGGTGAGTGCTTTAATCACACCGCTATCAA